CTCACAGGAGTGGCTTTATGAGGGAGGGAGATGCTGCTGCCCAGCTCTACTCTAAATTTTAGTGAACTGCTTTGATTTTAGTTTGGACTAAACCAGCTTTTGCCTGAGATGTATTAAAAGTCAAGGCACTTGCCACCCATTTTGTTCCTGCTCATTGTGTGGTTTTACTGCTTAGCTGTGAACAGGAGACCACCCACAACAAAATCTCACTTCCTTATGGAAAAATTGGAAATGCCACAGCTCCTTTATGAGGTCTGAGATGGTGATTCTACAAATTCTTTGCTTTTACTCAAATCTATTATGCTATTTCACTGGATTTTCATGAAGATGCTCATGAAGTTGATACAACATCAAGCATGAAAACAGGCTTCACATCAGGCCAGCAGCAGGCTCCAGCAGGAACAAAGGTTGTGGGATCATGGGAATATCCCATTTTGTGTTTGTGGGAACATCCCTTCCATCACATTTGTCAATCCCACAAACTTAAAGCATGCAGATTAGTGTCACAGGAAGGTTTAACTACAACACTTTTTTCTTGGCAATAAAGACACCTTGAGCTGGTTTGCCACCCACTGGTCTCTACTACTACGTTTTTTTACTGAGGTACTGCAGAGTTTAAATTCTGGTCCAAATTGGAATTAAACCTAATTTTAAGCAGTGTCTAAATCCTCCAAGAAAGCATTTTCTCTTTCTGCACCAACTCCTGAGAGATTTCTTCCCTATCCATACATACTTTCACCTGCTTGCCAGTTACCAAGAGAGAAAAGTCAGCCCTGGAGCTATTCTAAATTTACTGCTCTCTACGTCAATGACATCTTAAAGCAACTTTTAGTGGTTTGACAGAAAAGTGACCTTTACTTCATGGAGACATGGTATTTTTGCAGGAAGCAAAGCATTTTCCCCCAGATTCAGGGACTGCCAAAACCTGCAAGCTGCAGACACTTTCCTGCCTTGTGCTATTTCTTGGCTGAGCTGCAAAAAGAAAATCAGACACAGATCCCAGAGGACTCAGAATTCTCTCAACAACCTGATCTATCACAAAACGAAGTTTTTCTGGTCTCTGATTTTTATCTCAGCAGCAAGGAGTGCAATGAGATACTGTGTTCACCCAGATACCTCCACAGAAAGGGCTGAGAATGAAATAAGGTGATGGACAACAACGTGAGTCTGGGTTAAAAATGAAAGGAAAAAAGGAGCAAAGGAAGAAAAGGAAGAAAGGGAAGAACTCTGATGCACCCAGTGAGCGATGGTGCTGCTTGCCCTCAGTACAGATGGCTGAACAGAGAAAGATGCCTGCAGCTGGGTTCGCAGCTGACCAAGGGCAAGGAGAAGTGAGGCTCTCTCAGAGGAGGTGTCCTGGCTGCTGGTGGACAGGAGGAAAGGCACTTGGGAGGAGAGGAGGTGAGGAGATGTGACACATCTCCATTTCAGATGAGAACTGTACTCTTTCCCAGCCTCTCTGGAGGATCTGGTGACCTTTCTACAAGCACCAGCAGTCCCCAGAGCACTGAAGCAGAAGTTGCCTGCCCCACCTTCCCCATGAAGCATATGAATCTAATTTTCCCTTTTTGTGAAATCAAGAGTAATATCTGCTTACAACTCTGCAATATTGTTCTCCAAGTGTGTGGTAAAGTTAATAACCACACCAGAGAGAGCTCCCTGGCTGTTAGAAGCCAGATCCAAATATTCCTAAGGCAGCTCTCCATCACATGAGCCTGTAGACACACACACACAAATCTATAAAGGCAAACACTCCTATATATCCTACAAGCAAACTGCCTTAGAGCTGTTTCCTGTTACCAACCAAAAGGACTATAAAAATGAAGGAACTCCTGATCTTAGGCTGCTATTTCCACCTCATATGACCTTAAATTTATGGAAACTGTACCCTTGTGTTATTTAGATTTTACTCATAAAACATAGACAGAGGCAGTGTACAGGCATTGGGGAACCATCAAGAAAAATATAAAACTTCTTTGAACAGCAAAGAAAAAAGTTGTTAAAATGATTAATTTTTATAAATGATGTAAGGAAAAGCCATTTGCTGGAGTGGAGATAAGGTGGGGTTCTTTTTCTTTTCTCTTTTGCTTTAAGAAGAAAAAAAAAGAAAAAAGTTCTTGGAGCACTGTAATGTTATAATAAACAAAGTTCTACTTCCCTTATGTACTTCCCCAGCAATTATAACCTAGGAAAACCATTAAACACTGAGGATTGTTTTATAATGTAGGGATATTTATCCACCTATTAATTGTGACCTTACTCTAAGCTTCTGCAGTTCCCTGTGCATCCTATTTTGTAGGAAGCCTCAAACCACAGCAGAGTGCCCGTGAGTCTCATAGATTACTACTTGTAAGTCTTCTAAATGTTGGCAAGCATTCAAGGTTAGTTCAACCCACACTCCTAAAAAAGCATATTCAGCCTTTGGTCCTGTTACCTGAGAGGACTGCAGCCAAGCAAATCAGACATCATAGAGCATTGCTATGGGATTCTGAGTCTTCAGCATGAAATACCTTTGAAGAGATGCTAATCCAAAAGCATTTTGGGGTTGAGGGATGGAGCTATCCTCCCATTCAGCACAGGCACTCCTGTCAGAAGTTAGAACTGTCTCCCTCCCGCTCTGGTTCAGAGCAAGGCCCTTTCCAAGTATTCTTCCCAAGGAAATCCCCCCACCTTCAGCTCAGAGTGGTTTTTTAACTGCTCTCTGTCTTACAGCATTAGTCAAAGGCTATGGGAAATTGTACATCTTTGTGGCTTTTATTAACTTATTTCCTTTCCAGCAATATGCTGTAAAACCAGTAGTGAGACTCTCTTCAAACTCAAGTGTTAGTGTGGTGCTATCAGCAGCCCCATGGTCCTTTTCAATGCCCACTAACTACAGCCTTCAAAATCTTAATATTGAACACATTGATACAACATGCCTTTAAATGGTGCCTTTTGTAATTTGGGGGGTTGTTTTGCTGCATCTTGCAGAAGCTCTCAGGTGAACTCTGAAATAAGGAAGGAAATCCAGAGCTGAAAGAGGGTGCAAAGTCAGCGCCCAGAGGATAGAGCTGGATTACCTGCATCCCTGACAGGACCAAAGCCTGCCTCAAATGACAATCTCCATCTCCTGTATACACACACAGGGATTTGGAAATTGGTCAAAACTCCAGCATGACAGAGTTTGCAGCAGTTATTTCAGATGAAACAAAGTGATAGACTATGGTTTCAGAACACTGCAGCTTAAAGCAGCAGGGCTAAACCAACAGTAACACAGAGATGAGGATAGCCAGGTTTCCAATGAAGGAACTAAATTGAAATCAATCTTCCACATCTAAAAGAACCATTCTTAAAGCAATTCAATTTTGAATCCCTAATGAACATACAGACACACAAAAACCCCAAACTAAACTATGCTTCTTACTGAATGGATCTTAATATCTTTTGCTAGAAACACACAAACTATTATGGTTTGGGGCTGTTTTTGTGCTTCTTTATGCTCAGCTTCAGAGATACAGAACTGCTTTTCAGCTAGAGATGGGTTTTGCTCTACTGGACTCCTAGGCTGCTTACTGGTTACTGGAATTGCCATTAGGCCCCTAGTAAACAAATGAGCAGCAACACTGCTTGCTCACCCTACAACTCCCCCAGACCTTTCTCTGCTTTCAACTGCTACCTACGCAATGGAACAGGATTCTATTTTAGCAATAATACAATTTCATAGTTGGAACCCCCTTCAGTTTGAAGCAAACAGCAGCAGTGACTCATCACAAGGCTTTTTTAAAAAAAAAAAAAAGGGGATTTCCTGCTAAAGTAAAGCACCAATTAACAGCACAGGAGGCAAAAATCATCAAAGACCACAGTAAAGAGGGAGACCAAGGATTCCTCAGGGAGGCAATACAGCTACAGAAAAAAATGGCTTTTATTTCAGCTGGAGGCTCACGACCCAAACTGGATTTATTATTCTAAAACTGAAATGAGACACACCAGAGCATGGGGCTTCACTGTGAAACCCAGCCGAGCCAGCACAGAGCTGTTTTGAGCAGCCAGCAGTGGTTTTGGAGCTTTTGATTTATTCTGGATTCTGGCAGGGACACAGCCATCATACACATCACCTTCAATATGGAACCTGACACAGAACGAGGCTTGGTTTGACTGCTGGACCAGGCAGGAGAGGGAAATGCTGACATTCCCCAATACCTGGGCTGCTTCCATGAGTCACAGCCAAGCACACTGTGCTTTCAGTAAGTATGAAGGTCACTTTTAAGTTACTGTTTCTAGTAAAGATAAACTCCCCTGCACAGTGAAGGCAGGAGAGTGGCTGCAAACTACGTGGGCTGTTTCCTACGTAGGCTGTTCATAGGAAGGAGCTGCCTCCTGCCTTGAATACAGATGCCAGCTATCAGGATTTTTAGTAACTGAGTGTTTGCCCAGTGGGTGAGGCTTTCAGAGCTCTGGCACACGAGCAAGTTTGCAGTGGCATCAGGTTTTTGGGGAAAGATCAGCAGGCAGAGCCTGAATCCAGGGCCTGTTCTGCCACTGGACCACAGTGCTACCTCACCAAGTCACAACTTCTGTTGTTTCAGTCCAGGAGAGAATGAAACCTGCCCAGCTTCATGGCCTCCTGCACTCAGCCCCTAAGAGTTGCTTTAGGTATTAGCTTTGTACTAAGTTTGGCTACACAAGTTCTAACTTTTCACTACAGAGACATGGAAACTGGAGCTAACACCAGCAGGCCAACCTGTCTTCTGCCTCTGCCCTCTCCCTGTGCTATCTGCATGCAAACACAACACCACACAACTGAGCAACAATTCAAATACCTCACTTTCAAGTGCCAGGCATGGAAAGCAAGAAGCAAGCAGGAAGTATCAGTACACATGAATTAAAAGGAAAGCAATATATATAAGGTGTGTAAAACAGCATCATCTTTGCACAGGAGCTGCAGAAGAAGACCTGGTCAAAGCCTCCCCCAGCTCATTTGTGTATTATTAATTACTATATAAATTAGAGCTCAAACTCACCCCTTTGTAAAGCTGTTATTTCATCAGAGCAGAGTTGTGTGGAAGGTCTCTGAATAGAAGAGGGCCTCTGGACTGACTCATGGATTCAGGTGCTGGAGAGCCCTTTTTGCCTTTCTCAGGCTCAGCTGGCCCAGTGCTTCCACCTACGGAAAAGACATGGAAACAAAACATTCCCAATGGAATCAGGGGCATCAATTGAAAAACTAATCACACAACTCCACAGAAGCCTGCAACAGCTAAGGGAGGGGGAGAAAGCCAGAGGAACCATGCATGCAAAGAAAGGAAAGGCTGAGTATTTAGACAAAACAAACAAACAAATCCCAGTTCAGCTGGGCTGTGCTGGAAGACAACCCACAGCATTTTCCAGAAGTAACCAATTCCTCCTTCTCAGTCACTAAAGGATCAAGCTAAATCTTCATTCATTACACTTATGCACAGAAAGAAGAAATATTCTTCTGAGCAAGTAAGAAACAGTAAATCATTTTCAAATTTCTTTTCAGTCCTCTTCCCCAAATTATCCTCATGTAGCAATTTATCTTGCTAAATCTCCCATCTCCCACAGGCCCAGCAATAAAAATACAAATTTTTATTTGGTTCAAACTATTTCAATTTGGTTCAAAATTTTCTAAAAAACTGGTCTGTCTCAAAAAAAAACAAAACAAAACAAAACAAAAAAACCCCTGCTCTCTTCCCCCATGGTTAGCTGGGATTCATCTTCTGACCAGTGCAAGGTACTTTGAAATGTCAGATGGGTGAAGCATCAACCAGCACAGAACTTGAAGAACATAATGAGATAAAATTTTTTATATTCTCTACAGGAGATTTTGGTCACCCCCAGACTTGGCCATCTCCTCAAAACAAGAGCAAGCAACAGGAAACAAATCTTTCAGCACATCTAGCCAAAACAGTTATCCAGTACCACTCAACAGGAAAAAAAAAGATCTTACCAATAGCTGAAAATCACCAGAAGGTTCTAAAAGTGAATTATTGGATAATAAAATGCCGATTAAAGTTCTCTACATATTCATTTTTGAACATAATTTCAATTGTTTGGGATATTTTTCCTGGCCAGTTTTTCCTCAGAACATCAAACCTTTACCAGGACAATGAGCTGTGTACTGAGTACACCTAAATCACACCAGCTGCAGCTCATTTGCAACATTCCCCTATCTCATTGGTTCACTCTAAAGAGAATCTTAATATGTTTATTTTTAAAACTTAAAATTTATTTCTAGATAATATTATCTAGATATAGATTATATATACATATCTATCTCCATGTATATCCACAATGGTTTAACACCTGAATGGACTAAGGAAGGACAACTTCAACATGAGAAAGTTTATCTGTATAATTTAATTTTTAATTATAGGCGCGTTCAGAGGTTTAAGTGTATCCCACTATTTGGGCAGCTTTTTGCACAACAAACCTTGCCGTTTCTTCCTTCCCCAAAAAAAAAGCTGTAGGCGGTTCTGTGAAACATCCCACAAGGTGTCACTAGAGATGCATCAGCCAAAATACTCCTCGAGCGCGCTGCCCCATCCTCGCTCCCCCTGCCTTGGCAACACGTCCGGCAGCTTTGGAACGGGATCGGGAGGAGTTAATGCCTCAGCAGGAGCGTCCTGGTGCAGCGGGGCCTTTCAGCTGAAAGCAGCAAGGCGATGATTTGAACAGTAAATGAACCGAGCACACACAGATCAATGGGAAATGCAAACAACTTCAGGCATCGGCTTTTAATGAACTACCTCAAAAAATGCACCCTAATACAGGAAAAAAAATAAAAGCAATCATCAGCTGTGCCTCAGTTCCATGCTAATGCTACAAAAGATGGCTTGCCTCATTTTGTTTTGATCATTCACAGTTCCATGCCCATCTTTCACACCTAACCCTGAATATTGCACAGATGCCTTGCAAAAATTTGCTATCAGATATAATTATGTGCTTGCTCCTCATTTACAGTTATCATTAAGGCCCTTTCTACTGAACACTGAGTGAATACAGCATGAATTCAAAACTACTGTGCTGGATTTTAAAAGAATATACCCACCATATTCCCCCTTCTACCACCCCCCTGTATTTCCATTTCTTGAAAAAAAAAAACCCCTCAGATCTCACTTGAGAGAAGGGTTGCTTAACATTTGAAAACTATCTCTGATGCAGCTCTCAGGCAGAAATTACATTGCAGTGTCTAATTTCTCATTATCTCTTAAAAATCAGTAGGATTTGGAGGTTTGGAAGATGACACAATGACTCACAGGTGAAGAGAGGCTGCCCCAGGTACACCAGGTGTAAGGACTTACCTTGCCTATTGCCTGGCAGACACACATCTCCCAGGAACAAAGTTCCAGGAGCACTTGGGATCTCCAAAATATATTTTAAAAAACCAGGAAGGTATAACATGGCTACTCTAAGTTTACATTGGAGAGAAAAATACCACATGCTAAGAAAACTAACATTAATATGTTCCCCTCCTCCCCCCACCCCCCCCAAAAAAAGCAAGACAGTGTTTGCCCTGTTTTTCACAAGCTTATAGAATATTTCCATTCCTAAGAGCTGATTTCTGTAAATTCAGAAAGTTCCTTTGCCTGTTCAGGTTACTTTGCAAACAAATCACTTTTTTGCCTATGTCCTTCTCTGCTCCTCCTCCCCATCAGTAAAGTGGGTTTATTCTACTTCAGACTTCATGAACACACATCAATACCTCACTGAAAAATATTAGCATTCCACGAGCAAATTATGAAAAGACTTTCCACTTTTTTTCATGGCTTGTGTTACCTTGGATAGCCACAAGTTCTATCCTCCATTTACATCCTTAAGTGCAAATAATAATATCTTCATTTGTCCTAGTATTTGTGGAGCCTTAAATCATTATGGCAAGACTTGTGTTTAACAGCTGATCTTGACAGGCTGCTAAATTTGTTTCCCTGCACAAGGGTATTTTTTGCCTTTTTTAGACTTTTTTAGACAAAGTTCTTCCACTCCCTTTGAGAATTTAGAGGGTGTTTTTTTTTTTTAGTGTGCATAAAATGTTTAAGCAAGTATCTGTGCAGACTAAGAAAAACAAATCACTTTTTGAGATGATTTATATTTTTCAGTTCACCATTTAGGAACTCAGATTTCTCCTGATTGCTAATAAATAACACTTTTTTCCCCCTCCCTTTTCCATTTCCCCTTTGGCTTCCCTCCACTATTTCCCCAGATTTGGGAAGGGGGGTGCCTACAGCTACAGGCTGTTAGTACCCTCAGGGAAATCTGGAAATGACTTGTCTGAAGGATTTCAGAGAGCCTTCATCTCTATTATTTTTTCATAGATCCATTCATTAATTTGGATTTCAAATGCTCAGCTTAAGAAACAATAGAACCTAAGAGTGGTATTTATTTGTTTTGGCAAACAAGTTAGCAGAAGGGATGACTTCTAGAGGAAAATTTCAACACCTGAGATACAATAAACCCAATTTTGACTGGGTTGTTTATATCATTGCTCCTCGTTCATCCATGAGCTCCAACTGCTTTTCAAAGCACTATTTCACAAAGGAGAAAAAATCCAACACCTCTCTCCATGTTTCTCTCTAATCCTCGGGAAAGAAGAACTCTACCAAACCCTTAGCAAGTCCTACCATGGAATGCATGCTTCCAAACGCTTCTGGGATAACAATTCCCTAGGGAGGGGCTGGAAGAGCTCAGCTTTTCCTGTGCAGCGACAGCGCCACCTACAGCCCGAGCTTGGCCACGGCCACCCCACCGAGCTGCAGATGGGATTTTGGCCACACATCTGCTCCTCCACAACCCAGCTCTGCCTGAGGATGAAACTTCAACACGACATTTAATAGGACATCCTTTATGCTTCACCCATAGAGACATGAAATATTTTCTAGCTGCTTATTTTTAAGTTTTTAAAATTCTTCAGTTGTGGACTGAACTCACTAATAGCTAAATTGGGTGTTTAGCTGATGTTTCTATGGAAACCATGTGTTAGAGGCAAGAAGCAGAACATGATATTTCTGTTGTCACACACACACAAAAGACACTGCACAGAGTTGTGAGATAACAAAAGAAAGTTCCTGGACCTTTTTATAAGCCATAGTTTAGCTGTCATTTGTACAATAAAGACTGACATCTATGCTTGTTATTTAAAGCAAAAAACCCCAACTCTCCCAGTGCAGCTGGCACATTACTGAGAAGCTCCACTTCCTAGGAATTAGAAACTTGTAAAGTCAAAGAAAGAAATATTAATATGGAAATATGTCAATAAGCAGCATGAGAAATAAAATGTCAATGTATAAAGTCAGTTCAGAAAAATATAAAAAATATACACATGCAAGCCTAATGTAACCAGTAGAGTGGGCAAGGTCTTTCTAAGGGTGCCTGAAATAAGGACTGGAAATGCAGTTTGCAATCTGATAATCAGACTTGATGGAATAAAAATTCTGAACCACAGGGCTGCTTCACTTTGGTCTCAAAATTCGTTACCTGGTTATTCCAATCTGTGTAAAAGAGATAAGGTCACAAGGAGTTGCTTCAGGGAAAACAAAAGGGGGGGGGAAGGAAAAAGTGAAAAAGTAAAACAAATCAATGAGATAAAAAGTAATCAGGGAGAAAATGGCTTAAAAATCCCAAACATGCTTTTCCCTTTCCAAGTAGAAAGATTACTTAGGATGTTTTTTTTTTTTCCTAAAAGATTTGAAATCTTTTCCCCTCCAGTGTGATGGATCTGTAAGTAAATGCAGTTCTGCTTCATTAAGTCAGTGAAGAATTTATTTGTTAACAGTTCAACCCTGACTAATTTTTGCTTGAGCAAACTGTTGAGGCAGAAAATGAAATTAAAATATTGCACCTGTGATACCACAGGAGAACTATCCCTGATCCTGCAGCAGTTCCATGTCCTTACATTAGAATATTTATCAAGGTGGCATTAATGCAAATAGCAAAGATGCCTATTTCAGATGGGAAAATGAAATGGATTTACAAATCAGATCCCAGAGCACTGAAAAAGCCTGAAAGCTTCCCTATGAATTTCCAAGATGCAACAAGAGATTTATGGAGACTGTGCCATAAATTTTAAATCAATTAATTAAGGCTTTGCCCAGGAGCATGGGGAAAGATGGTGTAATACCATACAATTTAATAAAGCATGGAAAAGATTAGAGATAGAGAAAAAAAGGAACATGTTCACGGGAACAGTAAATTTACCTGAGGAAAGTGAGTCCTGAGAAACCCTGGTGAAATTAACTTAGAAAAAATTAGTGATGGCATTGGAAAGAGCAAATAAAAGTTAGAATGCTGGCAAGAGATTTCAACAGAAGGTTAAAAAAATAAAGACATTTTCATCTAAGAATTGCTAATGGAAAAAAGCTTTTCAATGCAAGTACAAATAATTTTGGGACAGTGTCCCTATCATAAACTGAATATATTCCACAATATGTTTGGGGGAAAGGTTTTATGATTATTTCACCAAAGAATAAGCAGAAGCTTCTTCTTTGTGGAAAAAATAAAAAGGAAAATGCAAGGAAATAAGAGCCTTTGATAGAAAGCTTTGTATTCCTCCACAGGAGGCTGACAAACAAAATTCAACCTTTTTCAGCCAACATCTTTTCAAGTCTTGGTTGGTGTTTTAAGCACCCTACAGGGCAGAGATGCAATTTGTACAAGTTTGTGTCTCTACAAGATCTCTTCTTTCATGAATGCATCAAGTATACACAAACACCCTTAAACCTTCTCAAAAATAACCCTGGCTTGGAGGACAGCACTTTTGGAGCAAAACAAACATTGTGTGAGCCTAACTTGTAGGGCTGTGAGTCTGTATTTTTTGGAATGAAAGGAGCCAGGTTTTACTGCTTTTGACTGAGCAGGTTTTGTTGTACTGATGTGCATGAGGAGCTGGGGGGAGATTTCACCCTGATAATAAACCAGCATGTGAGCCTTGAGCTCAAACCACACCAGAGCATTTAAAATAACTTCACAATTCATCAGCTGTCGGATCTCAAGATCTCAGTCCTGAGGTGC